AGCCCCACTTTTGAATATTACTGCATTGGAGACTGAGTCTTCATCACAGGTGTTTTGGAGAGATGCTTCATATCCAAACTGTAACAGAGGTCATTACTGTAACCGATGTTATAGTTCAGGGGGAAAGGAACAGAAACTTGAAATTTGGATGTGAAACCAGACACAGGCATAAACGGATAAGTGGAGAAATATTTTAGAGGTAAATCCAACAAGGCCTGTTAATGGACTGGAAAGTAGAGGAGAGAGGGAGATGGAAGTATGAAGCATCAGGGGTTTGCCAAATTAGATATAAAATAGTGAGTTAACTGAGGTGTAAAACATGGAGAAGGGAACAGGCCTGGGGAGTGACCTTGGGTTGTGGGTAGAAAATCATGAGTCCATTTTGTACATGCTGAATTTGAGTGCCATTGGGACACTCAGATGGAATTATCAATTATTACAAATTGGATCCGGAATGTCCCCCACAGGCTCATGTGATAAAAGTTTGGTTTCCAATGTGGAAATGTTCAGAGACAAGTAGTTTTGAGCAAAGAATGGATGTGAGGATTCTGACGTCATCAATGGATTATTTCATGGAGGGATTCATTCATAACTGAATGCACTATTGGGAGGTGGTAGAAACTATAAGTTAAAGGGATTCGGTCCTTGGAAACATGCCTTTGGAGATTATGTCTTGTTCCTGTTCCTTCCTTCCTCTCTCTTTCTCTCCTTCCTGACCACCACAAAGTAAGCAGCTTTGCTGGGCCCCACCCGTTTGCCATGCTGTCCTGCCTCAACATAATCCCAGAAACAATGGAGCCAGCTAACCATGGATGGAAATCTCTGAACAATGAGCTAAAATAACTCCTTCCTTCTTCTAAGTTGCTTTTTCTCAGCTTTTATGTCACAGCAACAAAAAGCTGACTAACACAAACCAAGTATTTCAACATGGGGTCATGGAGCTCAGGAAAGGCCAATAAAACTAAAACCATGGCCCAATACTCAGAGATTGTTATTCTTCTCACCTTCAATGTGTTCCCTGTTAAGAAGTTTTAATAATTTAACTCAAAAGGTTCTTTGTGTACTACCACCCTCTATCTTCAACGGCAAAAGCAGAAAGAAAAATTCCTGTTTTCTAGTTTGAGAAAGGTGCCCTGGCAGTCTGATAGAATTAGTATCCTCTGAGACCAACTTAGTTATTGGTGCTTTTCTTTGCTAAGTAACTGTGAAAGTCAGGTACAAACAGATTGCTGGAATTACTCTTTTTTCCACATGTAGCCTCCAATAAAGGGAAATGGAAAAAGCCTGCAGCACTCTGGATGAGTTACATTTAAATCTTGGATCACTGCTCAGTAGCTTGGCAATCTTAAGTATTTTAAAAAATGATAAAAATTATTATTATAATAATAATACAAGTTATTACAAGCTCCCCCCCCCCCATTGTAATAATAACTCCCATCTGGTGGAGTTTGTGAGGATATATAAGACCCTGTCAAGAAGGTGGCATTGGAGGTGGCATATAGTAGGAGTGCTAGGTATTGTCATCATTATCCTTGATCTCTGCATCAGAATATCCTGAAATTTATAGTTTTTTTTTTTTTCATAAGAAATGACATATCTGCAGGACAAAGGGGTTAAGGAAAAAAGAGGCCCATGCTCCTTTTGTAATTTGGCTATAGTACTCCACATTCCTGCCCATATTCACCTTCACCCCATGAATCTTTATTTAAGAGCCTGGGTAGAACAGAAAAAAAGATCTGAGAGATATCACGTTTTTTTTTTCCATTTATGACTCTGGTTTAACCTGGAGTTGTCTTTTTACTGAACAATGAGTTATCCCCAAAGATCCAGGAAAGATTCCTCTTGCTGGGTACTGCTGCGACTCACTTGTGCTCCCCAAAGTCACTCCATCATGAAAAGGGAATGTCTTTCTGAATATAGTTGGATTAAGGAAATTTCATCCAATATTTCTTAAGTTGAACTGTATAAAATAAACCCTATAGAAATTAGAACAAATCAAACCAGGTGTAATTGGTTGAAATAAATTCCCATTGGATAATGCATTAGGTCAGTTCAGATCGGTTTAAATTAAGAAGAATCAAACTGGTCCTGAAGATCTAAAATTGAAAATGATTATTTTCCAGTTCCACACAGGCTCTGATGGAGTCAAGGGGATTAAAGCATTTCGAGTTCTATCCATCCATTTCAGGATGGATTAGATAAGTACGAACCAGACAGACTGACTAGATTCCAAGTAGTTCTAATTGGAATCACACTCTATCAGCCTTGGTTAATTAATGAGCTGTCTGGAAAAATAAAACTTTGCTTTAAGAACTGTTGTCACTCCACAATTGTGGCATGATGGTAAGGCCCATGAGTCTCCTCCATTGCCCATTCTTTATTACTGACAGGACATTTTTCTTTCTTAATGACAGAGCTACTTGTATAGATGTTGACATTAACATATCTGGTTAAAATGATCAACATCTCCACATCAACATATCTAGTTAAAATGAAACCACATACAAACCAACCAAAAAGCTACGTTTTCCAGTCTCACCTCAAGAAACATGTGTTCCCCAAAGCAAATGGTGGTGGTGGAGTTCCCTACTGTTTCTTTGTGTCTGAAATGTGGAAAACATGGCTGGAAGCATGGGGTTGATGATTGAATTCATCCCTAAGGACAGCAGAGCAAAAGTATGGACTTGCTATGCCCTCCCTCTGAGGCAGCCTTCCCCCAACTCCACATGACTCTCTCCCTCGATTCCACATCTCCACTCAAATATCAGCTCAACAGAGGCCTCAGCCAACCAAATTTTCTACATAGTACACAGGACCCCTCTCACTTCCACAATCTAACAAGAGAGTAAACTCTCTTGATTTTTTTGTCAAAGTACTTGCCATCACCTGGTTTGGTATATATTTATGGACTGTTTGTCTTCCCTGGAATGAAAATTGGAGAGGAGTAAGAGCCCTATTTTATTCACTGTGTATCTTTAGTACTTAAGATCATTACCTACAATATGGCAGGCACACTGCCGACAATTTTAGTGAATAAAGGAATATCTGAGTTGTCATCACCCTTTCATCAAATACCTGTTAGCATTTTCCATTGATGAAGATTTGCCACTTCTCAGAAGAAGCACAGCAGCTGAGCTGTGGCTATGGTTTCCCATTGCCGAGGAGAAGACAGACTACACAAGGTACAAACCCACACGGAGCTACAACCACTCTTTCCATTTTATTCAAGGCGTTAACTGAAAAACAGCCAGCTTCCTATTTCCTCAATTGTTTAACTAAATTGCCAATTAATCCAGTTCCCTTCTAAAAATGTATTGTTATAATCTGGTGAAGAGGAGATGACAGGAAAAGAAAGGTGAGTGACACGAAATACACTAATATTACTCTTTATTTCATGAAATCCAAATTATTGCAAGCATCAATTTTAGGACCATTTTGTGTAGATATTAACCAAAAAAGGCAACAAGAAATTCAAAATACATACACACACACAGAACTATCACCACAGAATGTGAAGTAATTCAGAAAAAAAAATTAAAATATTCTTTGATTAAAAGATGCTTAGCATGCAGAAGGCCCTGGGCTTGATCCCCAGCACAGAAAAAAAAATTATATATATTGGCTAAAGAATATATTGAGAAAACATGGCACACTAAAATAATAATGTGCGATAAAAGCAAAACACTAAACATCTGCTCAAAATTTAAATGACATGAGCTAAAGATGAAGTATAGGAAGGTCACTGTATGTGCTAAGTCTAACCCTTGAAAACTCTTCATTCACCTTCCAATGCAGAACTTTAACTCTGTACCCACATCTTCAAATATTGTCCACATCTTAGTCACATGAAAGTCTGCTGGGAATCTAGGACCAGACTACCATCCACTTCCAGGAAAAATGGAGGAGGTGTTTCCATTGAAAGAACTCTGATTCCCAGATTCTCTGCCCAATATAAGCCATGTAGTAGTCTACACTGACATTTCAAAGCTTGGGAAAGGGAATGTCATTCAACCCTGGACTTCATTTTCGTTACTCTTACAAGGCAGAGAGCAAGACAAGGAATAGGCCCCTACAGATAAAAGAGACCCACACAAACATACGTATGAAGTGTTCATCCCCAGCTCATGATGTGACCGATTTTAGGAAGTGAATTAAAACTATTGCTCCTCGATGGAAAGATCACACTGCAAAGTATTTAGTTTTTATCCTAATTTCTAATGTAGGCACTTAGAACAGACAATGGTTAATTTTAGCTTTTGAAAATAAAAATTTAGCCTTCATAAAAACAAATATTTTTATAAGATGAACATTTTGTATAGTCTTCAAAAAAAAAAAAAAAAAAAAAAAAAACTTTGACATGCTTCTGATACCCTTAAAAAAACCATACTAAAATGCCACAGCAGTATTTCAAAGAGTAGCTCAGGGGCTACTAAAATATTAGATATCGTCTTGCTGGCAAAACACTAGTTATTCAATCAATAAAAGGCGTTTTCTAAACCAGTGTGTTCAGATTTTACTATGCATCAGAATCACCTGGAAGGCTTGTTAAAACACAGAATACTGGGTGCTGCATTCCCCCACCCCCACCAGAATTTCTGATTTAGTTGGTCTGGGGTGAGGCTTGAGAATCTAAATATTAATAAGTTACCCAGTGATGCTGATGTGGCTAGAAAAGGGACCACACCTTGAGAACCCTGCCTTAAACTATTAATTTATATGTTCTTTAAACAGTGATATAAGTTTAGAACACAGGATCCACATGGTATTTACTGACCTCTCTATAAGGCTGTGTCCAGAGACATCTTTGCAAAAAAATTAAAAAACAAACAAAAAAATAAATAAAATTCCTCCTTTATACCAACAGTAGTTCCCAGACAGCAAGAATCCCTAATACCATTTGCTTAGCATTTTGTTGTGTCTGGACTGTCCCATTTCCCATCAGAAGTATTATAATTTACTACATGTCTCCAAATGCCCTCCCCAGGACAGGATCCATGTCTCTGGGGGACCAAAAGCCACAGCTACATGTCTCTACCCAGGAGGTCTATCTCATCCAGGAGAAAGTCCATGTCCTCCCTGCTCACTTGAGGGCTGATCACCACCTGGCGGAAGAAGTTGACCTTCCCCCGGTGGGGTTGGTAGCCCAGCATGAGGCTTCCCTTCTTCATCATCCTCTCCTTAATGGCTGGGGCTACCTGCAAGGGGAGAGAAGTGAGGAGGTGAAAGACCAGAACACCAAAGCATTTCAACTACATTTTCATTAGCCAACTGCTGGTGTAGAACCTACTCTCAGTACACAAGGCCAACATTATAATAATTCATTGAGAACTAATAGCATATGAATACTGATGAGTATGTTAGATTTCTTATTTCATTTGATCTTCATAATAACCCCCTGAATTAAATATTACTAATTACATTTATAGATGAGGAAACTTAGGCACATGGAGGTTAAACAAATAGCTCAGGTCCCAGGCAGTCTCATTGCAAGCTCAGACTCAACACCTAAATCATTTTGCAATGTTGCCTCCTAAAAATCAATTTCTATGTCCACACAGGTCACCATTTCAAAAGTACCAAATGTTATATTCCCAAATTTGTCTAAAGTAAAAAGTACTCCAGTTCCTATAATACCAGCAACTTGGGAGGCTGAGGAAGGAGGACTGCAAGTTTGAGATGAGCCTCAGAAACTTAGTGAGGCTCTAAGAAACTTAGTGAGACCGTGTCTCAAAATAAAACATAAAAAGGGCTGGGGATATAGCTCAGTGGTAAAGCCCCTGGAATCAATCCTCAGTACAAAAAAAAAAAATCCTCTGGTTAAAGTATCTTGAATGAAACAAATTAATCATAGACAAAAACAAAGAAAACCACTTTACAGTGTCTATCAAGGAAAAACCAATATGGGTATTATGTGTAATTCTATTTTAAAGACTAATAGTTATTAGGTTATAAATAGGAAACTGTACTTTTTTTTGTCAATTATTGTGCTCTAAAACTATTTGCTAAATAAAAAGTCATGGAAGGAAATGAAAGCTTGATATTATCCTTGCATATATAAAATACAAATGCTGTCTTTTATTAAGGGTAAAGGTGGTAATACAATTAGGAAACTCGTATTTTAAGGATAAGAATTTGAAGCTGACTTGAGAAGTGATAATTCAAATGCACACATTTTTTAAAAAGTTTAATGTTTGAAGAAGTTAATCCAAGTTAAGAATCACACGGGAAAATCAATCTCTCAAAGCAGTAATGTGCCCACACAAGAGGTTGGTTGTCAAGTTTAAAATAGTGAAGTTAATTTTTGAAACACCACAATAAAAAAAAAATTAAGAATGCACCCTTATGGACTTGAAAACATACACAAAAGTTTTTTCATTCGCCTTTATTTTATCTCTTTCAAAACTTTTGAGCATGCCCTCTGTGAATATGTGGGAGGGGAACTTCATGAAATTCTGTCCTTGTCTTAGAACAAAGACGTGTAGCTCGCCCAGAAGCAAGGAATGCATTTAGAAATAATACCAGGCAGAATGGGCTTGAAACTCCTTAGGTATGGGGCATAAATGTCAGCTCTCAGGAGCCTTTCTCTCATAGGGTGACCCACCCTTAACACTCTACATTTTGAACATACCTATGTTTTTTGACAGCTATGTACCTGAAGGCAAGGCCAGTCCACTTCACCTGACACTCAACACAATCCAATCCATCTTTCCCAAAGATGATGGAAAAATCAGGTGTTTGGACCCCAGGAGATATGGTGTGTTGAGCTCAGCCACAGATCCTTCTCAAGGGAGGTTCAAGGGTAATTATGGCAGTTTTTGTTTTGTTTTGTTTTGTTTCCCAGGCGTGCTAATTTTAGAACCTAAATCTTTCAAAACATAGACTGTACCATGTTGACAACAACCAACACCGTCAGCAAAATCACCTTGACATTAAAAGATTGGCAGTTTTTCTTAGAATATAACAAGACAAAAAGAAAATGCATGGGTGTTTAAAAAAAAAACAGAAAAAGAAGATGAAATCTAAGGGTAAAACAGTGACATAATGACCATTAGGGCCTATAAGTTCCTGGAAATGGGTCACATATTTTATTCTGAGCTTTCTAGAGATTGGAAAAACAGGACTAATTAAACAACAGCCCTCATTCTCTTTGCAAAACTTAGGGACAAGCATTCAGTGAACACTGAAAGCAGGAAGCTGGTAGGAAACTCTCTACTATGCTTACCCATATCCTCTTGGATTCATAAATGCATTATAAGGTGCATTTTCTCCTTCAGCTGTTTATTCAAGTATCATTTGTTATTAGACATAGAAAATAAAAAAAAAATGTATGTAAGCCCATGAAAGCAAGTGTCCAAACAGAGTAGTTTCTGAAAAGACTAAGTTACATCTTTTGGAAAGACTAGGTAGAGGTGCCATCAAGGTAGATGTAGAAAGAGAACTATAAAGCTGTTAACACAAAATCTTGAGAATCTGGACTGATTCTGCACTCAGATTGCTACCTAGGTGTCTGGGTACTCACTCTATCTAAAGATACTCAAGCAGGATTTGACAGATGATTCTCATAGAGCCTGATTTAAGTAACGGAGAGCAGGCCTAATCTCCAGCCCTCTACTCAGGAAGAGTCTTACTTGCTTTGAAAAAGCTTTGGAAATACTCATTTGTTGGCGGGGGAGGAGATCCTTTCCATCAAAAGATGGGGAAATAAATGTGTACAGACATACAAGGAAAAATATTTAAATGTAAAATGCAAATAAGATAAAATATTTAAGTTGTGTATGCTTGTATGCTTCACATTTTTGAAGGATTATCTGCTTAAGTGATTCATCCTCATCACCTTAAGTATGAGGGCTTCTGATATACATGTGTGTATGTGTGTACATGTGAATATGTGCATGCATGCCCACAGGTCATATAAACTTCGAAAGTATCATCCATCACTCTTAAAATCTCCTGCTTTGTCACAGGACAACACAGAACCACAGTCCAGCTTACACTCATGACAAAAGCACATTTATTTTTAATTCAAATAAATGGTCTCTGGCCTAAGGAATATAAACTGAACCTAGGTGGAAAAAACCTAATAGTTCCAGTGCTAATCAATATTAGGAAGACCTGGCTCACAAGAGCCAAATGTCTATCCAAGAGAGTCACAGGCTATTAATTTTAGAACCTACAACTTGTAATTCTATGAATTTTTTAAGTCAAAATTCCCTTCAGATACATCTCCATCATTCTCTAGTTATCCAGGGAATAACCAGCTTTGACATACAGCCAATTTCAAAACAGATCTATTCTTGGCTTAGGCCTTATTTGCATAGTTTTTATTCCTGTTTACTTTTCAGTACCTCTATTTTTCTCCGGAAAAGGGGGTATTTTATGCCTTACCTTTAGAGAGCATTAGGATTTTGAGTCCAGTTCATAATGTGTCCGAGGCACAAATGAAGCAATTATCAAAGGAATCTGTCAGGTTTGCATTTTTTTAAAAGCAAATCAGAAATATTTTTAAAAGTAAGCAAAAAAGATAACAATAAGAGGATACTTTGGATGTTTTAATGTAAAGATATTCTGAATATTAAATTCAGAAGTGTGTTCTGTGGGCAAAACACATGGAATAAGAACCAAACTTTTAAGTCAAATTTTGTCACTGGCTTTCCAAAGATTATAAAGAGATGAATAATCATCTATGTGATTCAGAGAACTAATTAAGCAAAGGCCTGACAGTCCAACAGACATTTTTATCAATGTATCTATCCATGAACCATAAGATTAATTCCTAGAGGTAGTTGCTGTTAGGTAAACAGGGAAGGGCTCCTTTTTCTATGAATACTTCATGGGAAAGAAGGCCATAAACAACCCCAAGGCTGATACTCATTAAATCTCTCTCACAAATTATTATTGCTGTGGTAGTAGAGAATTATTGTTATTTTAAACAAATAGTTTACCAATCCTATACAATTTGCAGTTTTTTTTTTTTTTGGTGTGTCTTATTCCCATAAATTCAACTTAAAGCTTATCTGAAAGGAATCCATGTTTTTGCAATTTAGGGACCAAGAATATTCTCATTAACAGCCAGCTTATCACCTTTGCACTTAAAAAAAAATCAACCATTTTCTATTTATAAAGCTTCAGGCATAGTCTAAGGTTGGGTAATTTGGATATTCCCTTTTGCTGATCACAGCAGAGAAGCAGTCCTAATCTGACAGGATGGAATATTCACAGGGGAAAGAAAATATGCACAAACTAAATGTAAGTATCCAAATATCACCCCTAAATGGAGCATGCATGGCGGAAAGCAATTTGGCAGCAGTGAGATTGCTTTCCAGCTCTCAATTATTTTACTTCTGGTTTTCCTTCAAATTGTAAATCACTTTCTGTGCTTGTGCCTCAGTGCACTGGACTCTGAATCTTAAGTGGAGGAAGATCCTGACATTTCTATTTGGTTGCACAGCTACTCAATCTACACGTTTCTGTAGAACTTCTGTTTTTCCCCCCTTAAATTATGTTCGAGCAATGATTCAGTCATTTAAACAGAATTCTGTTGTCATACTGCTGCAGCACATGATAGCATTTGATATTTAAAAGTTACTTAAACTCAAGGGGAAATAAAATAAAATGACACTCTCTCTCTCTGGCCAAGTACAGAAATTTGATAAGCAACTGACCAGGCAACATCCCAGCCTTGGATTAAAATAAAATAGTAATATCCATAAAATGCCATTTCTTTTGAAAAATGTGTTCCACACTTAATATTAACAAGAACATATTTTTTTTCACTAGACAAAGTATGTCTCAAACTGTGGGAAAGGGATCAGTTTTATTTTTTTTCAATGCATTATAGATTTAAGACTTTGGTAAAACATAATAAACATTTATTATTGGAAAAATAAATAAAAAGATACAAAAATACAAGCCTAATTTTGGTTTATATTTTTAAGTCCAACACTAAAGCTAATTTGTTAAGTTGCCATAAAAAACTCCTGAATGGTAAATCTGGGTTTCTCTGCTTTTCTTACTGATTGGTAATTGAGCAGCTCATGGATCTGTGAGGGGCTATAACCACAGTTGGAAGAATACTGCTCTGTTTGAACTCCCTTGTCTCCGTGGGTATACTATTTTAACCATGACATTGGATGTCATTTTGCAGACTTATTTCTGCTTACTGGCATGGTCTCCACACTATTTTGAATGGTGATTT